GTAGAAGCTGCTGGGAGTCCCAGCAGCTTCTACTGAAGCCTTCCGAGTAAATCGCCAGAACGCCGACACCTCCTCATCTCCACCGCTCCCATGTTTTATTTTGTGTTGCCATAAGTTAGTCTCTCTGCGTTTCTGCGCTGGGCTAATGCTAATGCTAATAATGCTAATGCGAGGATAATAAAATGGCGGCTTCACCAAACTTTTTGGGAGTTTTACGGGGCGTGGTTTGCAATCCGCCCAGCCAATCAGAAATATAGCTCTTTTCTCACAAGAGAGCCGTACGAAAGTCCCTGCTCTCTAGCAGCTCTCTGCTCTCTAGCAGGGACTTTCGTCGGGGTAAAAAGGTTCTCATGAACTAATTTTAGTACCGGCTCTTTTTGGTGTGAACCATAGGCTGTATGGTGTGAACGCGATAAAAGAGGCTAACGTCCACGCTAGCTGCTATATGTTTTGCATTGAGGTGATACTTGAGGCTTGATGTGCTGCGGTGATATGCGAATTCCTTTTTGCATAATTTGCACACAACCGTGCTTTTATCAACGCTTCCATCCGTCCGTTTTTTAAGACAACATTTCCCACTGTTGGTCACTGTGGTTTGTTGTTGTCTGAAGTCATGAACGTTAGTTGGTGCTCCAGTATAATCGGTACGCCTGAAACTCATCCAGTGAGAAACGTTCCGCGGTGCAAAAATAAGTGCGATTAAAATGCGTTAATTTTTTTAACGCGTTAATTTTTGTGTAATTAATTAATCTTAATTAACGCGTTAAAGTCCCGGCCCTACTTTTAATGTTTAATTGACAGCACTGTAACTTTTATCCATGTATTTTTTCTTTTAATGTTGATTTTATTAGCTTTTCTTTTTAATGACTGATTTTAAATGCCATTTTCTTAATCTCTTTCATTTTTTGTAAAGCACTTTGAATTGCCTTGTGTTGAAAAGTGCTATATAAATAAACTTGCCTTGCCTTGCCTTGCCTTGCCTTGCCTTGCCTTGCCTTGCCTTGCCTTGCCTTGCCTTGCCTTGCCTTGCCTTGCCTTGCCTTGCCTTGCCTTGCCTTGCCTTGCCTTGCCTTGCCTTAAAAAGCATTTAAATACCGCATTTAAAATCTGATGAACTCAGTGTGCATCTGGACCCGGTGACGACATTACCTATTGACGCAGCAACCACTGTAAGTTATATTCTTGTTTAATTAGACTTCTCTGTTTCATTTATTCGACAGCCGAAGACTGACAAAGACATTGGAGTCCTGCGGGAGTAAGACTGACAAAGACATTGGAGTCCTGCGGGAGTCACGAGGGAGGCAAAGAGGAGGCAAATCCTACTCTGCTTGCGCTGGTGTCTTATTTATCTTTTCTTTAGTTTTCTAGCCCCTCATGCTATAATCATGTGTATTTTCTCCATTCCTGTTCATGTGTCTTCTCGCAATTATCACTGGCCCCGTGTATCTCCTAATCGATATAACCGGCCTGCTCTCGTCTATCCCACGTGCTCCACTGAGATCCAACATCTAGTTTCTGGTGGCCTGTGGAATTGCCAGTCAGCTGTTCCTAAGGCTGACTTCATCTCTGGCTACGCCTCCCTGCAGTCTCTGGATTTCCTTGCTCTCACTGAGACCTGGATTACTCCATCCAACACATCCACCCCAGCAGCTCTCTCCACTGCATATTCCTACTCCCATACACCCAGACCCACTGGCAGAGGAGGTGGCACTGGTCTCCTGCTCTCTCCCAAATGGAGCTTTTCCCTCTTCAAGCTACCTAACTTCACTCCTTCCACCTTTGAATTCCATGCCGTCACAGTAACCCATCCTATACAGTTAACCATTGTTGTTCTCTACCGTCCACCAGGCGCCTTGGGGGACTTCTTGGAGGACTTCTTGGAGGAATTAGATAATCTCCTCTCACTCATCCCTGAAACTGGCCCTCCCGCTGTACTTCTCGGAGACTTCAACCTCCAGACGGGGAAGATAGACGAACTAACATCTCTGTTAACCGCCTTTGCTTTCTCACTGTCTCTGTCCCCACCGACTCATAAAGCTGGCAATGTCCTTGATCTCATATTCTCAAGGAACTGCGCTACTTCTAACCTCTCTGTAAACCCGCTCCACACATCCGATCACTTCTTCATTTCATTCTCTCTATCCCTTTCCAAACATAACAAACTAATCTCTTCTCATCCTGCACTTGTCCGCCGTAACCTTCGCTCCCTCTACCCCTCTAGCTTTGCCTCGTCTGTGCTCTCAGCCCTCCCTTCCTCTGATTCGTTCCAACTCCTGCCTCCAAACTCTGCTGCAGAAACTCTCCTCTCTACTCTCTCATCCACTCTGGACTCGCTCTGTCCTCTCACATCTCGACAGGCTCGTCAGTCCCCTCCTGCTCCCTGGCTAAATGATGCACTGCGTGCTAATAGAACCGTCCTTAGGGCAGCAGAGCGGAAATGGTGGAAATGTTAACACCGTGACGACCTCCTAACCTATCAAGCTCTCCTCTCCTCTTTCTCTGCTTCGATCTCTCAGGCAAAAAGCACTTTCTTTCAAGATAAGATCCAATCTTCCTATTCCAATCCTAAAAAACTATTTTCCATCTTCTCCACCCTCTTGGACCCTCCAAAAGCTCCTCCCCCCTCCTCACTTCTGTCAAGCGACTTTGTTACCCACTTTGAAAAAAAGGTTGATGATATTCGCTCTTCTTTTTCTGACTCACCTTTACTCACCGCTGGGTCACCAGACCCTCCTTCCACCAACACATTTACCTCCTTTTCCCCTCTCTCTCCAAGTGAGGTTCTTACCCTCATTACCTCTGCCCGCCCTACCACCTGTCCTCTGGACCCTATCCCTTCAAACCTCCTTCAGACTATCGCTCCTGATATTCTACCGTTTCTCACCCATTTCATCAACACTTCTCTAACTTCTGGTCACTTTCCAAACAGTCTCAAGGAGGCAAGAGTAAACCCTCTCCTAAAGAAACCCACTCTCAACCTGTCTGATGTTATAAACTACAGGCCTGTCTCTCTCCTCCCGTTCCTGTCTAAATCACTTGAACGCGCTGTCTTTAAACAACTCTCCTGTTATCTCAATCAGAACAACCTTCTGGATCCGCACCAGTCTGGTTTCAAGGCAGGTCACTCCACAGAAACTGCTCTCATTTCTGTCACGGAGGAACTGCACACTGCCAAAACTGCATCCCACTCCTCTGTCATCATCCTGTTGGACCTGTCTGCTGCATTCGACACGGTGAATCATCAGATCCTCCTTCGCACTCTCCAAAAACTTGGAGTTTCAGGCTCTGCACTTTCCCTCCTCACCTCATACCTGAAAGACCGTACCTACAGGGTGACTTGGAGAGGGTCTGAGTCCGACCCTTGTCAATTAACTACGGGGGTCCCTCAGGGCTCTGTTCTTGGTCCCCTCCTCTTCTCCCTGTACACAAACTCGCTCGGATCAGTCATTAGCCCGCATGGTTTTTCTTACCACTGCTACGCTGATGACACCCAATTAATTCTGTCCTTTCCCCGCTCAGAGACCCAGGTCGTTGCACGCATCTCTGCTTGTCTAGCTGACATCTCTCAGTGGATGTCTGCTCACCACCTCAAGCTCAACCTTGACAAGACTGAGCTGCTCTTCCTCCCGGGAAAAGATTGTCCCACTCTTGACCTAACAATCAACATCGGCACCTCAGTTGTTTCCCCGACTCAGACTGCAAGGAATCTGGGTGTGACCCTAGATAACAACCTGTCCTTCACTGCAAACATCGCTGCTACAACCCGTTGCTGCAGATACACGCTTTACAACATCAGGAAGATACGTCCCCAGCTGACTCAGAAAGCGACTCAGGTTCTGGTCCAGGCTCTCGTCATCTCACGCCTAGACTACTGCAACTCCCTCCTGGCTGGTCTACCTGCATGTGCCATCCGACCTCTGCAGCTCATCCAGAATGCAGCGGCTCGTCTGGTCTTCAACCTTCCTAAATTCTCCCACACCACTCCGCTCCTCCGCTCCCTTCACTGGCTTCCGGTAACTGCTAGAATCCACTTCAAGACACTGGTACTTGCTTACCATGCTGCGAATGGATCTGGCCCTTCCTACATCCAGGACATGGTTAAACCGTACACCCCAGCGCGTGCACTACGCTCTGCATCAGCCAAACGACTCGTTGCGCCCTCGCTGCGAGGGGGACCCAAGTTCCCATCGGCGAAAACACGTGGGTTTGCTGTCCTGGCTCCAAGATGGTGGAATGAGTTCCCCATTGACATCAGGACGGCAGATAGCTTGCACTTCTTCCGGCGCAAACTGAAAACTCATCTCTTTCGACTCCACTTCGAGCGTTAGAACTATTAACGAAGCACTTTTATACTAATAAAGGACTGGCTTACCTAAAGCCAGTTGAGTAGCACTTGAAATGTTTGGCTCTATGAAACCTGATGTACTTATATGATTCTGTTTTCTTCCTGGTCGAATGTAGTTATTGTAAGTCGCTTTGGATAAAAGCGTCAGCTAAATGCAATGTAATGTAATGTAATGTATTTTCTGAACTTCATTTTTAAAATTACTTTTATTTATTTATTTTTCTAACTATTGATTTTATAATAATGTGATTTGTGTTGAATGTATGCTTACATTGTAAATGTATTTAGTGTACATGCTGATTTAGCATTCAAGTTCAAGTACTATCTACTTCAGCAAACGTTAAGCAGCAGAAACCCTTGAACTCAAAATATTCAGCTCTTTAAGGAAGTTATGAATGTGCTTGTTGTTTGATAATGTATTTAAATTGGGGTTAGAGTTAGGGGTTAACCAAGTATCAGTTCCCGGCAAAGAGTATACGTATGCCAACCAGTTTGTTCAGGAGATCATCCTGTTTCCAACGTAAACTAAGACTTTCGGTCTCCAAAGTCACTCTAGCAAGAAACTAAGGATGGACCTTCCATTTAAATAAACATACTTATAGTTTAACGCTTGTCAGAGCTTCGAACTTACCTGATGTTTTCCTTATTCCAACATGGATAGTTATTGAAAACTCCTTCACATGTGAGCTCAATGTCTCTAAAAGTCCCATTTAAACATATTTTATTGTTTACTCTTTATTTTGCATCCTTCATCCATTTAACTCGTTACCACTTTCCAACGATTTATATAACTTTAGCTGCTTTTACGTGTGTTTTCTACTTCTATTCAATGATTTAATATTCTGTACAACCCTTTCATTTTCACATCTTTCATACATCAATAGTTGTATATACATTTGAGAATAATTCCTACTACTTTGCTACTTTTCTTCTTACACATTAGTCAGCAGTGAAGTGTTGTGTGCTTTTTAAAATCTATCATCTGTGGCAGACTTTTGTCAAGCAAGTGTTTTGACATTCCTGCATTTTCAGGTATGATTTGCAATGATTTTTGTTATAGCTTTCAACCTTTACACACATTTTCAGCATTAGTTAAAAGCTGTTTTCTAATTAACACGGAAATAAAGTAGAAAGTACATCTCACGTTCTTAGTATTTCAAGCAACTCCATTTATTTTTGATAATGCTCATGTTGATTTGAGTTCCTAATTTCAAACTTCCCTTACAGTTTTAAAGGTCCCTGATCCTCTGCAACCATGATCACATTGGTAATGTTTGATTTTGGATTATATTTCCTTTTATTCTATGTCGATTTACAAGTTCTGCATATGCAGTATGTCATAATAAACTTTACATTTTGTATTTTCTCTGATAGTTAAGTGTTGCCATTGTTGCCGCATTGTTCTTGGGTAGGTTAATTATAAAAATGACATGATCATATTTGTATTTCACCCGAAATATACAAAGTCACAGTTTGTAACATTTTTCTCTTAACCTTTACCAGAAAGCCACCAGCGGGTTGCCGGTCCTTACCTCTTACCTGCAGAAGTTCCAGAGATGAAGCCAAGTAAGTAGTTATTTAACCTGTTAAACCCTGAGCCTGTTTTTCAGGTTTCAGCCTCGAAAATGACATTCCCAGAACAAATGACCATATCTTCCCTTCTAAAAGGGTTAAATTAATAATCTTTTTTCTCAAAGTAATGATAAACCTGTGAGTTGGATGTAGAAAAGTCAGATTCAATATAGATGTTTTTTATTTTAAAGAAAATTCAGATTGAACATGGTAAAAAACTGTAAATTATAGTGTCCGTCCAAAAAATATTTTGTACTTATAGTGAAAACTAACCTTGGATGATGGGTTCGTAGACTAAAAGCTTTAGGAATCCAAAGTACAACATATAAGTACCCTGTATCAAGATTGATGCAAAATAAGTGATATTTGACCTTTTTAGACAGATTTAGCAAAAAACAAACCTCTTCTGGGGCCATTTGGGTGGATTTTCCATATCTCTGGCCCCCGTTGCTCGATTTTAACATGTGACATCTCTTTCTGACAGTCAGAGCCAATGGAATCGAGGGGAACTCCCACATAGTCCTTATTTGGTCATGTGTATGTGTGAGACTGCTGCATCGCCGAGACCGGAAGCAGCAGCTAGCTGTATGGCTACCATTAGCAGCTAGCATTTACTCTCCGATTTTACATAAAAATGGAATTATGGATTATAAATTCAATCAGTTTTTTATACATGGACGTTAAGAACCTATGGATTAACAGATTCAGCCGCGTTTTTTCTCATTTTAATGCCATTGAACACGTACTTTGATCAGATTGACAGCTACTTGTGAGACGATCTCCCTAGAAGCTTCGTAAAGGTACGTGTTGTGATGACTGTATTTGCTTTCCCTGTCGCGAGTCCGGATCACTCAGTGATGATACTATATACCTACATAATCTATGGAGTCTCAGCTTTAATCGGATATACTGTATGTGCAGCTATGATAAGTAATAAGGGTACTTTTATCTTGAGTTCTGTGCCAATGTCCGTTAGCATTTTTCGCTCAGGGGTAATTTAGATGCTTCTTGTGAAACTTGTGTTTTGTTTTGGTAAACATGGTTTGTATCGGCAGTTAGCTGAGATTATTTCCGTTAATCTGATATAACACATTAATAGGTTCTTAAATATTAAGATCCCCTGAGACACAGTATCGTGAAAAAAAGACCCAGGGTCCCCGCCGGCGGGGACCTTCGGGCTTAACAGGTTAAACCATTCAGTGGCTCTCTTTGTTAAGAGACATTTCTGACACTCATCATTTTGTTTATTTTGTATTCTATTTAGAACTTCCCTGCGACTATTACACCCACATTCCTAAGCAAATCATACCTATTGACACTTCACAAATCCCAACATGTGCTATTTCAGTAATGTTTCAAATGCATTGTTGCTTATTTATCTCATTTGAAATGCCCATGTCCAGAATGCTGGACTGACTGGTTTGACAGAGATGACCCCACTGGAACTGGAGACTGGGAAACCTTCTCCGATCTTTACAACGACAACCCTGGAAAGATCTGCCCTGAACCACAGGGTATGGAGGCCACGACTCTCTCTGGACTCAGTGTGGCCGCAGCAGGGGAGGTGATTTTTAAGTAAGTGCTGAACAAGTAGGAGTCATTTGAATGTTTGATGTGATGGTTAATACTGTATTCTACTGAATGTGTTGCTTAAGTGTTGCTACTGCATGTGTTTGTTTACTGACCAGCCATATACTTGGTAACCAATGAGAAATGGGAATACGTTATTTAGAGAGGGTTCAATCAGTTGCCATTCACAATATTCAACCCAGTCTCATGGCATTTCGTGTTATAGTCACGACATTTAATCTATTGATTCGTGTTCACCAACATGATTTTCCCCTTTTTTTCGTGTCACACAGAACGATTTTAAAAGCAATGTATTTCTATTGGTAGTATGTTTCGTGCCTGCAGCACGTCTTTTTGTCCGTTCGGGTCTTGGAAGACCGGAAGCTGTGGGGTTCATAAAAACATGTTTTTACTCAATATCAAGCCACGATTATTGTTTTTATTTTAAATCGTATAATGTCGGACTTTTTTTGTCGTCTGTGAGGAAAATAAATGGGGCTCAGAGCCTCAGAATACTGAAATCTGTATTTTTTTAAATCTTTTTTTCCTTCTAATTTGTTATTATTTTCTAAATAACACACTGTTATATAAATACAGTGTTACAAAATGCTGAAAGACACAAAGTAACAAGGATTTACATAGAGAAAACAAAACCTCAATATATATATACAGGTCGCGGACATAGGACTGGTACCTCTCTGCTCTCCTGCCACAGTCAGACTACCTTCCAAAACACTTGTGGCCAGAGGTTTATACATGTTAAGCCCCTCCCCATAGAACAATCCACTACCAATAACACACAATTATCCTTGTTTTTATTTGTTTAAACATAATATAATATATAATATATATATATATATAATGAATATGTGAATATATAATATAATATAATAATGTAAAACATATAATTAATAAATGGATGAAAATCGCTTGTATCCATAATGGGCAGCATTCATATATACCCACATGACAGCTCATTGTTGCTTTGTAATTCTACTCCACAACAATTCAGAGGTTAACCTGGTATTTTTTCTCCACTACATTTATTTGAGTTACTTTGTAATTCTACTCCACTACAATTCAGAGGTTAACCTGGTATTTTTACTCCACTACATTTATTTGAGTTACTTTGCAGATTCTGATTAATGATGTGAAATATAAACAACCCTTAAATCAGACTTTAGTTACACCTGAGTAAAATTCAGGGAAGGTGATTGTCAAGTGCCAACAATCAGGAGAGATATTTGATAGTTGGTGCTTGAGAAGACTAAACATTTATCTGCAATTTACATGAATGGAAACGAGTAATAAAGTATATTCATTACTCGTTATTCTCAACTAATAGTTAATTAAAGACTGTATAATGGCTATTTTGCACATCCCTTTCAAGATTTCAAGATTTTCAAAGGTTTATTGACATATCATACACAACTATGGTGTGGTTATGCAATGAATGAAAAACGTGGGTCGCAGCTGAGGTTTGTTATGGAAATCTTAGACCTAGTCAATACTGTGGAGATACACAAGTCAGAAATATCAAACAATAAATGGTGAAACAGACAGAGTTGTCTTTCCGGTTATTTATTTGAATATTCAAAGACACAGGTCTCACAGAACACAGAGTATCCTTAGAGAGTGCGCGCAGAGTGAAAGATGCATACAGGTTATATAGGATTTTGTCAGTTCAACAACATTCCGTCACTTATTAGGAGGGGCCCTGGCAGGAGAGATAAGCTTTCCAAAGGAACTGAAACTGTCAATCACTAATAGATTGAACCAGGGGCCTGTTCAGCAAGAGGGAAGTGAGGAAACTTGTCAGCAGCAGATGGAGGGCTAAGAAATGGGGAACTTGATTATAAGACAGGGAAACTAACAGGAACTTGCCCATTGCCCTGCGCTTGGTACCCAGCCCCCTCATCAAGTTCTGACCTTAGATGACCTTAAATGTCACTTTCCAGGGAGGCAAAGGACATGAACTAAAACACATCACCCAGACCTTACTTCAACGTTTTTAAAGGTCATGAGTGTCAATACATCATTACAGACACTGTTGCAAAATGCTGACAGAGGTTATAAGCTGAAATACATTATTATAGGAACTGCTGAAAGTGCTAACAGAGGTTATAAGCTGAAATACATTATTATAGGAACTGCTGAAAGTGCTAACAGAGGTTACAAGCAAAACACATCATTCTAGGAACTGCAATTGATGTGTCCATGTAAGGTACAATATAAAGTCTGCACTATAAGAAAACTTTAAACTACATATATGTAAAGTTTGCCATTACAGGTTCCTCAACAGTGCATTACAAGACATCTATCAATATGTGTGTATACCTCCACCATAAAACTGTCAAATTCTGCACATTTCTTATACTATCTGTAAGAGAATATTTTAATCTGATCTTGATTATAGAGCTTCTTATTGTTTCTTAGAATCTGTGATACTGCAAACATCTGTTTGTAGTATCAGTCAAAAACTCCTCTGTAGGTTGAGGTCACAGGTCAAATGCTTCTCCTATATCCTGTGGGGGAAGGGTCCATGCCTGCCGGCATTTCGTGAGACAAGCAGATTATTGTCTCACATCTGCTATTGATTAGGTAAACGCGGGCTTCTGAGAGCCCGCCTCTCCTCATGTTGATGCCTGCTGTGGTTCCTTTGGGTTCAGAGATGATTTGGTGGTTGCACAGGACAGTGTGAAACTAAGTGACCTCCCGGCTGTATTAATGTACTGTGTTTAATAAACTCTCAGTGCTTTGGCTAACGACGTTCCAGACTCCTTCATTCCACCTCAACATTGCAACAACAGAAGTTTTAACTTCACACTATCTACATACATAAGAGTATAATTAATGTGTATAATATCAGTTAAAATAAGTGCTTCAACATACAGTAGTTAACATTGCAGGAAAGCAATATATTAGACGTTAAGTACTTTGTCAGGCTTAATATTTATCTTTAGATAGATACCCCCAAAGCTTTTTTCTTATTTAAAAGAAGACCTTAATCTAAAGTATTATTTAATGTTTAAATAAAGGTTGATTTATTTTTCTGTTTTGCACCTCCTCCTATTAATATCTTTGTACATCCTGCACTAAACTGTTTTATTGTAGAGATCACTTATAGTATCTTCTTGATTTTTTATATTCTATATTTCTATCATTGACCTTCTACTTTCCCCCTATATGTATGCACTCTTAATATATTTTATCAAATATAACACATAAAAACAATAATTCAATAACGTTCTTTAACCACTAGGCGTTGCACACAAGGTACACACAGCCATAATAACTTTGTATTATTAGTGTAGGACACTTATGTATGTAAAACATCTGAAGATGTAGTTTTATTCATGTTTTCACATAATTTTACAGCATATTGCTATACTATTTCAGACTCAGTATTTACATTCTTATATTCAAAGAAAATCAGTAATATCTTTAAAAACTACAAGTCCTTTTGGTAACACTTTATATTAAGGTACACAAATTAACCATCAACTAGTTGTTAATTAGCATGCATATTAGCAGTATAATGGCTCTTTATTAGTCATTATACAACACTTATTAATGCCTTATTCTACATGACCATATTCTACAAGTAATAAGCCATTAGTTGAGAGTTTTTCCTCAAAATCCCTCTAATTAGTGCTTATTTATTGCAAGTAAGGAAGTTGTTGTCCATGAGTTTTGGTCTTAATATACGCTGCTCAATATGGGCCTAATAAGGCAGTAGTAGCACAAGAATAGTAATTCTCCCATAATAACACTTAACAAATATGATCTATTCTTATGGAACAAGACATGAAACTATAAGTGTTAATTGTGTCTTAAATAACTCAAAATTAGGTATTTATATTTTATAATATGTTTTGGGGTATTGACAGTTCAGCTACCAATAGCAAGGTGATATTGACCTGTATGTTTCATATTTGCCCATTTATATTTTTGTAAAATGTGTACTGAAGGTTAGTTAGACCCGGGTACAGGAAGTAGGAGAACGTGAACTACACTGCTACTAATTTTCCCTTTGCAACCTGAAGAGTAAAAGGGTCAAGTCCGTCAGAAAGCAATGACTGTAAGTGTAAGTGTGAGCCTTACACTTACACTCTAAGGATTAGTAACATGTATTGTGTTTATGTGATGACATGTGGAGATGTTTAAACTCAATGAGAAAATGCGTTAGCATTCGCGCTAGTGTTAGCATACACGGTAGCGTTAGCATACATGCTAGCGTTAGCCATACTAGCCTGTATACATGCTTATTGTACAGCTAGCATTAGCTATATTTACCTTGTTTACACTAAGCGGTCCTAATGTGTTCATCTGTGTATGTTACATTTGCATGTATGAGATCATTAAGTGCCTTGTAACTTCTTTTTTATAGTTTCACTCCGTTTGAATGTCAGTGGACTGCAAATAAGTCAATAAAGGAGCATGGCTGCTCATTCCCTGGCTCTCAAAAGAGTTTGGCTGGCTGTTTAATCTATGTTCACACTGAGACAACACAGAGAGAGAACAGTACACCTATTGTGTAAGAACATACAAGCAGGTCACACAGTATGATCACAAATACATAAACTCTGTTAAAAATCAGTTTTTATTAAAAAGTACAGGCTGCATGTGTGTTCTCAGCCTTGGAGAAACTTGACATGTTTTGGTACATGTATGTGTCTGAACCTCTCTTCAGTGGTTCAATAATATAACAGATATTTCAACGTGTGCCTACTTTGTTCATGTACTGTTGAGGTTAATTTCAGTAGTTGTGTGCTATAATGTATTTACAAAGTGTGAAGAGGAGGCAACTTTAGAATAGGGAACCTGTTCAGGTCAATTAGAGTCAAACTACTAGCTTATTGGTTATGAACAAGACTTCACTTTAGAATAGGGAACATATTTGTAGATAGAAATACCTAATTAGAGTCAAACTACTAGCTTATTGGTTATGAACAAGACTTCACTTTAAAATAGGGAACATGTTCTTAGATATAAATAGCTAATTTTGAGTTGTTTAGACTTAATTAACACTTGTAGTTTCATGTCTTGTTCCATAAGAATAGATCATATTTGTTAAGTGTTATTATGGGAGAATTACTATTCTTGTGGTACTACTGCCTTATTAGGCCCATATTGGGCAGAGCATATTAAGACCAAAACTCATGTACAATAAGTTCCTTACTTGCAACAAATAAGCACTAATTAGAGGGTTAATGCGGAAAAACTCTCAACTAATGGCTTATTTCTTGTAGAATATGGTCATGTAGAATAAGGCATTAATAAGTGTTTTATAATGACTAATAAAGAGCCAATATACTGCTAATATGCATGTTAATTAACAACTAGTTGATGGTTAATTTGTGTACCTTAATATAAAGTGTTACCGTCCTTTTATATCAGCTGTGCACCGTAATGGTGTAAATATAACCTAGGCCTATCTACGAATTAGATCAAATGTAAAAGTCAGCCGAATTAGTGTTGATACTGCAAGGAGACGTATTGTGTGAAGAGAAATTGAAGATGTTGTTTAATTGTTGATATATTTATGATCCACGTCAAGTATTCAGTTTTGGCGGCATTTCTTCCAGTTTTTCCAAAGGTCTTCTCATCAGGGCTCTATAAATAAAGAACTACGGCAGATCTGTAATATTTAATGTAGCCAAACCGTGTATTACAATGCCGTTATGTGATGACTTTCAAAGTAAAAGCAAGAACACTCTTTAGTATTATTGTATTTTTTAAAAATGTTTTACCGATTTCATATCATATAAACACCTAATCCCAACATGCATTGCGGCTAAAACATCCAATCAGCGAGTTTAAACCATATCTTGGGTAATCGCTCGAAATGCCTACGTCTGTTTCCGGTTATTTTTATTTTGAAATTCAGTTCCTGACGGACGCCAAAAAAGCCCGAGATTATGGAATCAAACAAATAAATAAAAACAAGGATAATTGTGTGTTATTGGTGAGTAAATACCAGTGTGTAATTTATATATATATTGAGGTTTTGTTTTCTTTATGTAACTCCTTGTTACTTTGTGTCTTTCAGCATTTTTGAACACTATTTATATAACAATTATTTAGAAAAGAATAACAAATTAGAAGGAAAAAAAGATTACAAAAAATACAGATTTCAGTATTCTGAGGCTCTGAGCCCCATTTCTTTTCCTCACAGATGACAAAAAAAAAGGACATAATACGATTTAAAAAACAATAATCGTGGCTTGATATTGAGTAAAAACATGTTTTTATGAACTCCACAGCTTCCGGTCTTCCAAGACCCAAACGGACAAAAAGACGTGCTGCAGGCACGAAACATACTACCAATAAAAATACATTGCTTTTAAAATCGTTCTGTGTGACACGAAAAAAAGAGGAAAATCGTGTTGGTGAACACGAATAAATAGATTAAATGTCGGGACTATAACACGAAATGCCATGAGACTGGGTTGCAATATTGTATAGTAGCCTACTGGGTATGTTTTAAATCAATTATCTCAAATGCATTCATCAGAGCTGATTCTGATGAGTCTGAGGACAGCCCGGAGCAGGACATGCTGCTTCATCGACACCGGAGTTGGCGGAAGTGTTTAACAGCGACTGTATAAAAGCAGTGAGAATTCCGAGTGGCTAAGCTAATTAGCAGCTAGGCTAATCAGTATTATGCGCCGTAGCTCCTTGTGTGGATTATTTTGTTTATTCAGCTATTAACAGTGTGCCATGTCTGTATTGTGTTTACAGTTTCACCAATTCATTAAACTTCAGTAAAGCTGACATCTGCCGGAGTTTCTTTGAAAGTGTTTAACTGGATGGATAGCTAGCTCGGTGATCAGGGCCGTCCCTGGCCGACATGAGGCCCCACGCAAAGTTATATGATGAGGCCCTCATATAGCGAGCGTCAACGGGGAATTGCTAGTGGAGCCTCGTTGCGGAGAAACCGTGCCGCGCCACACTAATTGCGCCGCATAAGCGAATAGGTGCGCTGCATTTTCGGCACCCTCCGCAAGGTGAGGCCTACGCAGTCTGCATGATCGGCCTGTAGCGAGGGAAGGCCCTGTCGGTGATACTAGTGAGAACTTCACGGCGACACAGACGATGAACACTTCAGTGGATAAATTCGACTTATATATGATTTTTTTTCTCTTAACGACACGTTTTTTGACGAGCGACTTATACTCAGGAGCGAATTGTAGTCCGGAAAATACGTACACTTATTCCTGCGGGGGACATGAATGTGTTTACTGAATGCAATTGCTATCCATTCAATCTGTTGGTTAAAACACTCAAAACCGCTCTTGTCAACGTCCTGTTGGCACTGGAGGAAAAGCCTAAAAAATAAGAAATCATTTATCCTTCAGGGAACAGGAATGTCTGTACAGAATCCCCATGACACACAATCAAACTTTTTGGGAGATATTTCCATCTGGACTAAACTTTTTCTTTTCAGAAATGACGCCACTTCAGGATTCGTCTGCAGAAACGTTGATCAAATCCAAAAGAAGATGTGCAGTGACTACCGTGTTCGTTTCAGCTGCCATTCCCCTTTCTGTGGTGGAGGAGGTAAGAGCACACCACACTGTATAAGCACTCTCTTGAATAAGCATTCATTTAGGAGAGTTTTACAGCTACCTACCCAGTCGTCCTCTCTCTCATTTATTGCTCCTTGCAGTGTGCTGGACCGACTGGTTTGACCGTGACAATCCCAGTGGCACAGGGGACTGGGAGCTTTTGAGTAACCTGAGGAAAGAATACCCAGGAAAGATCTGTGAATACCCTCTGTACATTGAGGCCGTTACCAGTGACACGATGCCCCCAGCCATCTCCACAGAGGAGAACTTCTATATGTAAGTTGCCTCACTGAAATAATGCAAATGATTATTTAACCACTTCCAAGGAATAAGTCGGTACTTCTGAACATTAAAAACTCCTTACAAGTCACCCACATGTGCTGCCTGGAGCTGCACCTATAACAGTGAATAGAAACTCTGTACATGGACATTTAATTTACATTAGAAGACATTTTAATGATTTCAAATGATCATTGTGGATATCTGAGATATTTAATATTAGAAACAAAGTTCCACCTGACAACAAGAACCATCCATCCATCCATCTTCTCCTGCTTATCCGTGGTCGGGTCGCGGGGGTAGCAGTTCCAGCAGAGAGCCCCAAACTTTCTTTTCCCTGGCGACATCAACCAGCTCTGACTGGTGGATCCCAAGGCGCTCCCAGGCCAGCGAAGAGATATAATCCCTCCACCTGGTCCTAGGTCTACCCCATGGTCTCTTCCCAGCTGGACGTGCCTGGAACACCTCCCTAGGGAGGCGCCCAGGTGGCATCCTAACTAGGTGCCCGAACCACCTCAACTGGCTCCTTTCGACGCGAAGGAGGAGCGGCTCAACTCCGAGTCCCTCCCTGATGACCGAACTTCTCACCTTATCCCTAAGGGAGACACCAGCCACCCTGCGGAGAAAACCCATCTCGGCCGCTTGTATCCGCGATCTCGTTCTTTCGGTCATGACCCATCCTTCATGACCATAGGTGAGGGTAGGAACGAAAATGGCCCGGTAGACAGAGAGCTTTGCCTTCTGGCTCAGCTCCCTTTTCGTCACAACGGTGCGGTAAAGCGACTGCAGTACCGCTCCCGCTGCTCCGATTCTCCGGCCCATCTCACGCTCCATTGTTTCCTCACTCGAGAACAAGACCCAGAGATACTTGAACTCCTTCACTTGGGGTAAGGACTCATTCCCTACTTGGAGTGGACAGTCCATCGGTTTCCTGCTGAGAACCATGGCCTCAGATTTGGAGGTGTTGATCCTCATCCCAGCCGCCTCACACTCGGTTGCGAACCGATCCAGTGAGTGCTGAAGGTCGCAGACCGATGAAGCCATTAGAACCACATCATCTGCAAAAAGCAGTGGTGCAATCCTTAGTCCACCGAACTGCAGACCCCCTCCCCCATGACTACGCCTCGAAATCCGATCCATGTATATTACAAACAGGATTGATGACAAAGCGCAGCCCTGGCGGAGGCCAACCCTCACCGGAAATGGGTCCGACTTACTGCCGAGGACCCGGACACCTCAAGGGGCGGTAACCCTCGAACCTCCTGGTGGACACCGGTGGTCAGGGAAGCCGTCCGACTGAAGAAGGAGGCCTTCAGGGATTTGTTATCCCGGGGGACTCCCGAGGCAGTTGCAAGGTACCGACAGGCCCGAAGGGCAGCAGCCTCATCCGTGGCCGAGGCAAAGCAGCGGGTGTGGGAGAAGTTCGGAGAAGACATGGAGAAGGACTTTCGGGCGGCACCAAAGTTGTTCTGGAAAACTGTCCGACACCTCAGGAGGGGGAAGCAGGGAACCATCCAAGCTGTGTACAGTAAGGATGGGACGTTGTTGACCTCAACTGATGGAGTGTTAGGGCGTTGGAAGGAACACTTTGAGGAACTCCTGAACCCAACAACTCCGCCCTCTATGTTAGAGGCAGAGCTGGAGTATGACGGGGGATCAACACCAATCTCCCGGGGGGAGGTCACTGAGGTCGTCAAACAACTCCACAGTGGCAAAGCCCCGGGGGTGGATGAGATCCGCCCGGAAATGCTGAAGGCTCTGGGTGTTGAGGGACTGTCATGGTTGACATGTCTCATCAACGTTGCGTGGAAGTCGGAAACAGTATCGAAGGAGTGGCAGACCGGGGTGGTGGTTCCCCTTTTTAAAAAGGGGGATCAGAGGGTGTGTGCCAATTACAGAGGCATCACACTACTCAGCCTCCCCGGGAAAGTTTACTCTAAGGTACTCGAAAGGAGGGTCAGGCCGATTGTCGAACCTCAGATTGAGGAGGAACAATACGGATTCCGTCCTGGTCGTGGAACGACGGATCAGCTTTTTACTCTCGCAAGGATCCTGGAGGGGGCCTGGGAGTACGCTTATCTGGTCTACATGTGTTTTGGAGATTTGGAGAAGGCTACTGTGGGAGGTGCTGCGGGAGTATGGGGGGAGGGGGTCTCTACTCAGGGCCATCCAATCTCTGTACTCCCAAAGCGAGAGCAGTGTCCGGGTCCTCGGCAGTAAGTCGGACCCATTTCCGGTGAGGGTTGGCCAAAAGAAACAAGAACAAGTATGATAATTGAAAGGGTTGTAGAGGTTTATTTGAACTAGCATCAATGTACTTTAATAAACTACATTGGGTTTATATCAGAGCTAAACATGAAATATGGTTTAAGCAACATATCCAATTTAAAATACGTTTTTGTTTGCTTTTAAAAATGGTCTTCTTCATATAACTATCGAACTGATTCATTTAATAATTGTTATTGTTTTTCAGCTTCAATCCGACTCAGGGATTTGTTTGCCGCAACAAGGACCAGAGAAAGCGCATGTGCCGTGACTACAAAGTTCGCTTTGGGTGTCCTTGCAGAAGAAACCCGTGGAGCCGTGTGGCATAGTGGGCCCTTGTTTCTAGGTGTTTGGGTCAGGGGGTCACAGGTTCAAACCCCATGTTACGATTATTGTGTTATGTCACGTTTTGTATGTCTTGTTTTGGGTGTTTTGCTGTTCTCCCTGTCTTGTTTTCCTCCGTGTATATTGTCTGGTCCTTCTTCCTGTGTTTTTCCTCCTGTCGTTAGTTTCCCTGGTGTGTCTAGTTGTCTGATTGTGTTCACCTGTGGCCCTTGTGTTTCTCCTCCCCTGCCCGGCTGTTTCTCGTCTTGTGATTACCCCTCCCTGTATTTAGTCTTGGCTCTCCCTGTGTTCAGTGTTGGTTCGTCTTGTGTCATGACTAGTTATTCGGTGAGTGTTCTGTTTTGTCTTAGTGTATCTGTGCCTAGCCTTGAAATAAAGGAGTTTTTCAGTTTGTATCTGCATTTGGGTCCTGCCTGCTTCACACACCGTAACATTACGAACCAACCAACGATATGGGCCCAGCAGATCCGTTTGAGCAGGAACTAGTGGATTATACCTTTTCTTTGTCTGACTGCGCTCATCGATGGAGAGGAGCGGTCAGGGTTCAGCAGCGAGATGCTGCTCTGGCAGATGCAGTCCACCTTACGCTGATGAATCAAGATTTGGTTAAATTCTTACCGGCCTGGCTTTTGGATTACCTCACGGTTTGTTTTCCCGATCCTGATAGACCCAGGTCTCCAGATTCCCTTTTTGATACCACATGCATCGGTTTGGTCCGTCTGGCGTCAGCCCCTGCTTCTCACCCAGTGTTTGCTACAGTCCAGGAGTCATTTGCTGGTACTCGTCTGGCTTTTGGAGGTCCACGGAGCCTCCAATCGGCTCCTAAGAGGAGTCGCAAGGCCAGGTTAGCAGCACGAGCCCAAAAGGCCATGGTTCCAGAACCAGTTCAGCCCCCAGCAGCCATGGTTATAGACCCAGTTCTGGCCCCAGCAGCCATGGTCCTTGCTCCAGAACCGGTCCCGGCAGCCATGGTCCTTGCTCCAGAACCGGTCCCGGCAGCCATGGTTTCGGCTCCAGAGCCGGCCCATACAGCCATGTTTCCGGCTCCAGAACCGGACCTTACAGCCATGGCTCCGGCTCCAGAGCCGGCCCATTCAGCCATGTTTCCGGCTCCAGAACCGGACCTTACAGCCATGTTTCCGGCTCCAGAACCGGACCTTACAGCCATGTTTCCGGCTTCAGAACCGGACCTTACAGCCATGATTCTGGCTTCAATTCCGGCTCCAGAGCCGGCCCATTCAGCCATGTTTCCGGCTCCAGAACCGGACCTTACAGCCATGATTCTGGCTTCAATTCCGGCCCCAGCAGCCATGGTTCCAGACCCAGTTCTGGCCCCAGCAGCCATGGTTCCAGACCCAGCTCTGGCCCCCTCTCTAGTCTCTTCTCGAGTTCCCCCTCTAGTCCCTTCTCTAGTCCCTTCCCTAGTCCCTCCTCAGGTCACTTCTCTAGTCCCTTCTCTAATCCCTACTCAATTCCTTTCTCAAGTCCTTTCTCAAGTCTCTCCTCTAGTCTCTCCTCTAGTCCCTTCTCTAGTCCCATCTCAAATCCCAACTCTAGTCCCATCTCAAGTCCCTTCTCTAGTCCCTTCTCTAGTCCCCTCTCTAGTCTCTTCTCGAGTTCCCCCTCTAGTCCCTTCTCTAGTCCCTTCCCTAGTCCCTCCTCAGGTCACTTCTCTAGTCCCTTCTCTAGTCCCTACTCAATTCCTTTCTCAATTCCTTTCTCAAGTCTCTCCTCTAGTCTCTCCTCTAGTCCCATCTCCAGTCCCTCCTTTAGTCACTTCTCTAGTCCCATCTCAAATCCCAACTCTAGTCCCATCTGAAATCCCCTCTCGAGTCCCCTCTCGAGTTCCCTCTCCAGTCCCACCTCAAGTCCCAATTCAAGTCCCTACTGAAGTGCCGTTGGAGGTTCCGCTGGGGGTCCTGCCAACTCCATGTCCTGTCCCGTTGGAGGCCCCGCCGACTACTCTCCTGCCGGGGGTCCTGCCAACCCTTTGTCCTGTCCCGTTGGAGGCCCCGCCGTCTACTCTCCTGCCAGGGGTCCTGCCAATCCTTTGTCCTGTCCCGTTGGAGGTCCCGCCGTCTACTCTCCTGCCGGGGGTCCTGCCAACCCTATGTCCTGTCCCGTTGGAGGTCCCGCCGTCTACTCTCCTGCCGGGGGTCCTGCCAACCCTTTGTCATGTCCCGTTGGAGGTCCCGCCGTCTACTCTCCTGCCGGGGGTCCTGCCAACCCCTTGTCCTGTTCCGTTGGAGAACCCGCCATCCTCTGTCTCGCCGGGGGTCCTGCCAATCCCATGTCATGGTCCTCTTGCGTGGGGGATCCTGCCGAGGCCTGTCCCACCAGCTCCGGTTCCTGTCCGGCCGACACCGGGTCCTGCCCGGCTCCCGGCGCTGGCCCCCTCTCTAGTCTCTTCTCGAGTTCCCCCTCTAGTCCCTTCCCTAGTCCCTCCTCAGGTCACTTCTCTAGTCCCTTCTCTAATCCCTACTCAATTCCTTTCTCAAGTCCTTTCTCAAGTCTCTCCTCTAGTCCCTTCTCTAGTCCCATCTCAAATCCCAACTCTAGTCCCATCTCAAGTCCCTTCTCTAGTCCCTTCTCTGGTCCCCTCTCTAGTCTCCTCTCGAGTTCCCCCTCTAGTCCCTTCCCTAGTCCCTCCTCAGGTCACTTCTCTAGTCCCTTCTCTAGTCCCTACTCAATTCCTTTCTCAAGTCCTTTCTCAAGTCTCTCCTCAAGTATCTCCTCTAGTCTCTCCTCTAGTCTCTCCTCTATTCCCTTCTCTAGTCCCATCTCTAGTCCCATCTCCCTCCTTTAGTCACTTCTCTAGTCCCATCTCAAATCCCAACTCTAGTCCCATCTGAAATCCCCTCTCGAGTCCCCTCTCGAGTCCCCTCTCGAGTTCCCTCTCCAGTCCCACCTCAAGTCCCAATTCAAGTCCCTACTGAAGTGCCGTTGGAGGTTCCGCTGGGGGTCCTGCCAACTCCATGTCCTGTCCCGTTGGAGGCCCCGCCGACTACTCTCCTGCCGGGGGTCCTGCCAACCCTTTGTCCTGTCCCGTTGGAGGCCCCACCGTCTACTCTCCTGCCAGGGGTCCTGCCAATCCTTTGTCCTGTCCCGTTGGAGGCCCCACCGTCTACTCTCCTGCCAGGGGTCCTGCCAATCCTTTGTCCTGTCCCATTGGAGGTCCCGCCGTCTACTCTCCTGCCGGGGGTCCTGCCAACTGTAGAGTTATATTTGTATTTATTCATGTTAGCAAACTATGGATAAGCTTAAAATGGGAATAATTTGGGTAAAACTGTGAGCTGGATTTGGGGCCTGTTGACATGTGTTTTTTGAGGACAAAGGAAGATGGGGGAAGGTGAGAGCATGTCTTGATTTGCATTCAGCTTAGATCTAGCTACAGTGGTTGGGGAAACCTAAGGTCGGAGGTGTTTGTGATATCTGGGGCTGCCAATCAAGGAGGTCCAAATGGGAGGATCTGATAACTCCTCCCATTGTCAAAGAGTATAAACACAGACACACACGCGGTGTTCAGTCTCTTTCCTCTGGCTGGCTCACGTGCAGGTAAATTCGGGATCCCAAAGATTAACTGTATTGAATTTGTACTGTATTGATTGTATTGTATTGTCATATTATCATTAAAGTAGATTATTGTTTACTTGGTAGCTCTGGATTCGTTCCTGTATTAACCAGCTTGATAGGGACGCGCGGAGATTTGAAAAGCGGACCAGATATCCCTTTAAATCTCTAACAATACTCAAATGTCCCCTCCTCGACTCCTCGACTCCTCGGTCCTCCGGTAGTGACCCGGAAATGAATTTCAGCGCGCCATTTTGAAGGACATCTAATTTCTCTAAATGCACACCGAGGATCGAGCGTCGAGGAGGCTCTCTGGAGGAGCTATAACCGAGGATACACTGATGGTTCCTCCACGGCTCCTCCGCGGATGCATTTCCGGGAACGGTGGAGGCGTGACGCACGGCCGGACTTATCTCAGCCAATGACAGCTCTGCATGCATCCCCTGGATATTATTTTAGAAACTGCTCTCATCGTAACGCGATGTTTACAGTGAGAACAGCTATGAGGTCCGTGCAGAAAGCAGAGCAGTGTGTATAATATATATCACTCAGTATAACAGGCCTACTCTCTTTATTTGCTTTAGTTTAGTAGATAAGTACAAACAAAGAGTCGATATTTTTCTAAGACCATGTAGTGCTTCACATAATAAAATACACAACGGCTGTAGCCTGATTATGCTTTAGGAGCTGTAGGTGTGTGTGGTACAGTGTGTAGGTGTGTGTGTGTGGTACAGTGTGTAGGTGTGTGTGTGGTACAGTGCATAGATGCAGCGGACAGACGGGTCTCAGTTGATTTGGTGTCCTCTGCTTACTTTTAATACTTGTAAATACAAGAGGGGGGGGGGGGGGATATATCCAGTCTCTGATTGTGTTACGTTATTATGAGAGTGCTCTCATACTTTAAATTGTATATAGTTATATAAATATATGTGTGTGTGTGTGTGTCCGCATCTGTAGCCTGTTATTGTCTCATAATACCGCACTGTCAATGAATCAAAGTAAATATATAAGTCGTCATGAACACATCTGTCCATCAGACAGAGTGCTGCTGTGCCTCCTGTCATCATTAATGGACGTCTCTATCTGCCTGCTGCTTCCCCTCCTCTCTCCTCGGTTCCCCTCCTCATTCCTCCGCTCGCATCTCTTGTGGGCGGGACTAAGTTTCGAGGATAGGAGTTGAGGAGGGGAGTCGAGGAGGGGAAATTTAAGAATTGAGAAGCCTCATGTGTTGCTCCAATGTTGGCTGCTTGTGAGCTGTATAGCGTGTGTGTTTTGGGGTCTGAAGTGATGGGGGATGTGCCCCAAGTTAATATGTATAGTTGTGGAATGATGAGTGCAGGTATCGCTTTGGGGTTCATCTTCTTATTACAGACACATGCATTTCCTAACATTCGGTCTATATGCTGTAAAATGTATTATCTCTTCGATTTACACACGGCATCTATTGCACGTCTGTCCGTCCTGGGAGAGGGATCCCTCCTCTGTTGCTCTCCCTGAGGTTTCTCCCATTTTTCCCCCTTAAACTGTGGTTTTTCTCTGGAAGTTTTTCCTTGTACGATGTGAGGGTCTAAGGATAGAGGGTGTCGTTTTTCTCATACTGATATTCTGAACAATCTGTGCCGTTGTATTTGCTGTAAAGTGTCTCTACTGTAGGCTATTTTTATTATATGTACAGCACTTTGGCTCGACCAAAAATCATTTATAAATGTGCTATATAAATAAAACTTGATTTGATTTGATTTCTGCTTGCTAATTTGCTTGTTGTTTGATAATGTAATTAAATTGGGGGAGGCGTGTGGTGCAGTGGGTTGTGCGTTGGTGTTCAGAACAGATGGTCACAGGTTCAAACCCCAATGCAGTCAGCATGTCGTTGTGTCCCTGAGACACTTCACCCCAAATTGCTCCTGTGGGGATTGTCCACAGTATTGAGTATGTAAGTCGCTTTGGATAAAAGAGTCTAACAAGTGACATGTAATTGCGGGAACCTTTAAATCTTCTTTGAAAATGCCATTAGTGCAATAAACATGAACTATTAAACTTGTATTTAGCTTTCTTATATATTTATAATTTTTTTTGCAATCAATATTTCTACAGTGAAAAGGAACTTTAAAAATCTCCTGAAAAAAAACATAAACAGTTAAAACAACTTTGACCTGCTGTAAGACCCACAGTTTTCACTTTTCATGTTTAACTTTAGGTATCTAACGTAGAATAATGTTTGGCAGTTGCACACATTTAACTATAGAATCAAACTAAATTATACATATGGCCACAAAATGACAAACTCCAACCAGCTTCATATTAACCTAAACCCAAAGTAGCAGTTCCCAACACCAGTAAGAGTTCTAGATGAACGCGTCGAGCAGCATTTTCCCTCCTTCGTGACAGTGCAAGTTTTATCCTGATATGGCTATTACATTTGAAAGAGTATACTCAATATACTCAAGACACAAATGCATCTTCTTGGATTTACGTGTGAAACAGGTCCAGTATTTATCCTCCTGGGACCCGAGGAAAAAAAGTGTCTTCCAATTTTCTTTTTTTTGTGATTTCCTACCTATTTAGGATTAAAAAAACATCTTGCAATTTAGACTTTTTTTATTTTATTTTATTTTAAAATGTTACAGTATGTCCACTGCAGAGGACGTCGGGACCATATTAGTTTGAAAAGACAGCCAAAATTAACAGATGGACTATGTAACGTATTATGGTTATAGAGTGATATTAATACAATAATACATTCACCTTTATTTAAAACATGAATAAGTAATTGATCTGAACATTGCTGTTTATTTGGTCAATACAAAATTAGCTTGTTTTTTGGTGAATCTTTCCAGATCTTCAAAGACTTTGTAGACAATGTAGTGGGAAAGTACCTCATTGACTCCAGTCAGCACGGGCTGTAGGGTCATCTTGACTAGTTTGATGGATGTGGTCTCCATTTGACCATGCTCATAGAAACAAAGCTGGCATTCCTGAGGCAATTCTCATTTTTCATGGCTCCACTTAAAATAAAAACAACAATAAGACATACGTGCTACTCTTGGCCCACAGGGGGCCATGTCTTTCCAGCTCGTCCCTATCTGTCTCTATGTATCTATCTGTGCGCTCATGGAGCATCCTGCATCTTTCCCCCCCTTCTTCTTGACCCTCTTCTATCCCAGCTGTGAAATTCTCATCTCTCTCATCATCTGAGAGCTCAACATCTTAATCTCCCTGAACTATCTGGTACAGAAAATGTCTGCTTCAGTTCCGTCTCCTGCAACAATATTGAGTCATAAAGTCCATGAAGATAGTCCTGACGTCCACTAGAATGGACATTTATAAAAGGGCTGTTATTTGAAAACTTGAATTATTTAATTGCTTTCAGAACTAATTATATAGTTCCTCACATGTTAATAAACAAGAATATATATGATTTTCATGGTAAAAATGACAATTATTCAACAATATTTGACTTCTCCTCCTGCTTCTATACAATTTTGTTTTTCGTATGCCAGCCATTTTGGATTAAAAGAAAGAGGAACTTCCCAGCATGCAATTTTAACCAATGACATATCACTGGAAAGACCAGGATGTCCTCTGTACAGCACATCAGGGATTGATAGAGTAGCTCAAAAGAGTAAAAGGAGATGCATGTTAACAAAATGTCCACTACAGTGGACATTTTCAATGGGCTGGGTCCCAGGATTATAGGAGATTTAAAGTGACCACAGAAGAATGGTAGAGTTGAACACCTTATCTCCAGTTATTGTTTTTTCATTCAACCCCCTCGAATTTGAGAATTATTGTGCAAGGCGTATCTCGTTCAGTTTTTTAAAAAACTGCATTGTTTTCTTAGGGTGAGGTTAGCAACATGTGATTCCAATGGGGGTGGATAGTTACTACCAAAGCTGTATTTAAGGAGACAGGAGAGCACTTCATGAACCAAACTGTTCCACTGAGAGGTCCTGCTGGTGAGTCTCTTTTGTTTTTGCTGAGAAATTTAACATGCAATAATGTATTTTCTGAACTTCATTTTTAAAATTACTTTTATTTATTTATTTTTCTAACTATTGATTTTATAATAATGTGATTTGTGTTGAATGTATGCTTACATTGTAAATGTATTTAGTGTACATGCTGATTTAGCATTCAAGTTCAAGTACTATCTACTTCAGCAAACGTTAAGCAGCAGAAACCCTTGAACTCAAAATATTCAGCTCTTTAAGGAAGTTATGAATTTGCTTGTTGTTTGATAATGTAATTAAATTGGGGTTAGAGTTAGGGGTTAACCAAGTATCAGTTCCCGGCAAAGAGTATACGTATGCCAACCAGTTTGTTCAGGAGATCATCCTGTTTCCACCGTAAACTAAGACTTTCGGTCTCCAAAGTCACTCTAGCAAGAAACTAAGGATGGACCTTCCATTTAAATAAACATACTTATAGTTTAACGCTTGTCAGAGCTTCAAACTTACCTGATGTTTTCCTTATTCCAACATGGATAGTTATTGAAAACTCCTTCACATGTGAGCTCAATGTCTCTAAAAGTCCCATTTAAACATATTTTATTGTTTACTCTTTATTTTGCATCCTTCATCCATTTAACTCGTTACCACTTTCCAACGATTTATATCACTTTAGCTGCTTTTACGTGTGTTTTCTACTTCTATTCAATGATTAATATCCTGTACAACCCTTTCATTTTCACATCTTTCATACATCAATAGTTGTATATACATTTGAGAATAATTCCTACTACTTTGCTACTTTTCTTCTTACACATTAGTCAGCAGTGAAGTGTTGTGTGCTTTTTAAAATCTATCATCTGTGGCTGACTTTTGTCAAGCAAGTGTTTTGACATTCCTGCATTTTCAGGTATGATTTGCAATGATTTTTGTTATAGCTTTCAACCTTTACACACATTTTCAGCATTAGTTAAAAGCTGTTTTCTAATTAACACGGAAATAAAGTAGAAAGTACTTCTCACGTTCTTAGTATTTCAAGCAACTCCATTTATTTTTGATAATGCTCATGTTGATTTGAGTTCCTAATTTCAAACTTCCCTTACAGTTTTAAAGGTCCCTGATCCTCTGCAACCATGATCAAATTGGTAATGTTTGATTTTGGATTATATTTCCTTTTATTCTATGTCGATTTACAAGTTCTGCATATGCAGTATGTCATAATAAACTTTACATTTTGTATTTTCTCTGATAGTTAAGTGTTGCCATTGTTGCCACATTGTTCTTGGCTAGGTTAATTATAAAAATGACATGATCATATTTGTATTTCACCCGAAATATACAAAGTCACAGTTTGTAACATTTTTCTCTTAACCTTTACCAGAAAGCCACCAGCGGCGTCCCGGTAAAGTAATAGGTAAATGTTTTAAACCATTCAGTGGCTCCCTTTGTTAAGAGACATTTCTGACACTCATAATTTTGTTTATTTTTTTATTCTATTTAGAACTTCCCTGCGACTATCCCACCCACATTCGTAAGCAAATCATACGTATTGACACTTATCAAATCCCAACATGTGCTATTTCAGAAATGTATTGTTGCTTACCTATCTCATTTTAAATGCCCATGTCCAGAATGCTGGACTGACTGGTTTGACAGAGATGACCCCACTGTAACTGGAGACTGGGAAACCTTCTCCGATCTTTACAACGACAACCCTGGAAAGATCTGCCCTGAACCACAGGGTATAGAGGCCACAACTCTCTCTGGAGTCAGTGTGATCAGAGCAAAGCAGGCGATTTTTAAGTAAGTGCTCAACAAGTAGGAATCATTTGAATGTTTGATGTGATGGTTAATACTGTGTTCTACTGAATGTGTTGCTTAAGTGTTGCTACTGCATGTGTTTGTGTACCTGTTGACACCAAATTATATTTTCACATACTATACATCAAGTAATCAATACCTCAGAAGGGTTCATGTACATGTAGGCTACGGTTTGTTAGCGGTTTGCTTAAACTACCCCTATAGCTATGTTGCCGGCTAGCAAACTCAGGCATTGCAAACAATAACGTGATATCAGAAAACTAGAAATGTATAACTCACCTGACACTGTGGTGTAAATGTCAACGATAGATGTGTAATAAGAACGTCAACAGCCTGATGGCAACCGAAAATCCCTCTCTCATCTCAGATAGAAGATATGATTGGAGACGACCAGCCAATCAGAATTGACCTTCTCGAGTTCTCCGATTGGTTGGTTTTGTGGCACATTTGTAACGCTGTGACAACTTGAGCGAGCGCAGGCAAAGCTGAGCGCGCACAGGCTGGAGAGGTCGAGCGAGCGCGGGAGAGAGAGCGCGTGCAGCGGTCTGCTTGCGCACGGAGCAGGAGTTTTATTTGAGAAAATATATATCTCTGTGCTTAAAAATGTTCAAGTGCGCGCTCAATCGCATTTTCTATGCTCAACATGTTTCATTGCGTGCTCAGGATAGAGGCACAAATATAACGCCACAATTATTCTGATCAAAATGTGTGTTCAATGGCATTAAAACCAAAAAAAACGCTGGAAGACCTGGAAAACAGGCTCAGGGCTCAGTAAAGGCTGGCTTGGCTTCAGGTATAATTCGTCTGTAAACACACTTTGGCAGCTATCCTAGTTAGCGTTAGTTTAGCTTGCTAAGCTAACGTTAGCTGATGTCGGTATGCTGGGCTGGTGTAATGCGTAGGCTACTATTAATCACTGGTGTGTGTAATGTCAATTTGCAGAAAATGAAAAGAAAGTCAACAGACTTTTTATTTTAAGAAGAAGATGAGTACTGGTACTTGCTTACCATGCTGCAAATGGATCTGGCCCTTCGTACATCCAGGACATGGTTAAACCGTACACCCCAGCGCGTGCACTACGCTCTGCATCAGCCAAACGACTCGCTGCGCCCTCGCTGCGAGGGGGACCCAAGTTCCCAACGGCGAAAACACGTGGGTTTGCTGTCCTGGCTCCAGGATGGTGGAATGAGCTCCCCATTGACATCAGGACGGCAGATAGCTTGCACATCTTCCGGCGCAAACTGAAAACTCATCTCTTTCGACTCCACTTCGAGCGATAGAACTATTAACGAAGCACTTTTATACTAATAAAGGACTGGCTTTTCTAAAGCCAGTTGAGTAGCACTTGAAATGTTTTTGCTCTATGAAACCTGATGTACTTTTATGATTCTGTTTTCTTCAAGTTGTATTTTGTTGGATGAACGCACTTATTGTAAGTCGCTTTGGATAAAAGCGTCAGCTAAATGCAATGTAATGTAATGTAATGAGTAAAGGAGAGACAGAGCTGGCAGGGGAGCAGCAGCATAGGGCTAGTGAGGAGATGGCTAGCCCATCTCCTCACTTGTCTGATACATGCTATAAAGTACATGTGGAACTCTGTTTTGTAAAAGTGAAACTAAAACCTAAGTACAGTTGTATTAATGTGATTGTGACCTTTTTAATCATTTAAGTCTTCTACACACTTTAGGTCTGCAGATCCTTCAAAATAAAACGAGAATCTATGCAGTTTTTCCTCTTCTGTGTTCTGAGGTTATGAGCCGACCATTAGTCAAGTTTGTTTTCATAATGTTCTGTATGCTAATTTAAAAAAGGGTAACCAGTTTGTTTATAAAGTATATACATTCCAAAACAAATGGAATACAAGCTATATGTATTACTCTCACCACAGTGGACTAATCTAAAAAAATAGAATGTCTCGTCACCTATTTTCTGTCTAATACTAAAAGGTGGTGTTTTGTATGATTTATAATGTTTTGAATTTGCTATAAAGGTCAATAATAGATGGTGTTTTTGTGTTCAATCACAGTATTTACCATTTTAAACCCCTTGTGTTTTTGGGTCCTGTTGAAATAAAATAGTCATGTTTTAAAACTTGATTTAATAAAGTCATGTCAATCATCTTTGATCCCAGTGTGACACAAACAGCTTTGTTCAGTCTAAAACAATTTATAACCTAGAGACATAATATAACTGAAGAACATGTTGTGTTGCTGTTGTGTATTTCTGCAGGTCTCCCTTGAAAAAGAGATCATTGATCTCAATGGGATTTTACCTGGATAAATAAAGGTTTTGCATTTGAATTGAATGTGTTGAGAATGCTGAACATGTTATGCCTTACAATAAAGGAACTTATTTAAATTAAGCTATATTTGTCTTTTTAAAAGGAAAGAACAACTAGCATAAAAAACAAAACAATAAATCACCAACACATGTATACATAACACAAAACAAGGTTCTTTTAAATGTTGTTTGAAGTAAAATGTTAACTATCCGTATTATATTCACTTCAGGTTAATAGTATCAGAAAATGTAAAATAAGAAACCAAAGTATATCAGTAGGTGATTCTCTTTGCTATTGTTTTCATCTAGTCTATACTTTTACAACAATTAAATGCTTGGTTTTGGTGGGCCACCCAAAGATTTTCAGTGGCCCCATTTGGCCACCCCTATGAACAATTTCTGGAGGCGCCACTGAGTTGTATGTCTTAAAGGGATAGTGGAAATTGAACCCCAAATAGTTTCGTTTTAAATTATATACAAGCATAATTACGTACCAAAACAATCACACCTGATTAAAAAAATATAATAATTGCCTTACGCATGTTAGAAGCACTTTATTGCAGCTTCCCCGAACTTTTTTAGAAACGAAATTATCGCTTCAGCCAAACCGGAAGTGACGAAAACTCAGGAAGACAAAACGATAACAAACAATGGCGTCTATGCATTGAACGTGGAAGGGCAAATATACCAGACAAAGAAGGATTGTACGAGGTATCCAGTGATGATAGCGAGTCAGAAACATCCTCTCGGCTTCCCTACGAAAATGTAGTTTTAGGTGTAGGCTGTACTCACAGTACTGTTAGTCTATCATGTCTATATGATGACTGTAGTGTACACATTCGAAACTGTGTACCGGATTATCAGATGACGAGGCCTCCGGTCGCCTAATCGACAGCCAATAAATGGCGTTGTACACAATGGTACAGGCTAATGATGCATTAAATCAGCTAGAAAACATAATAAAATACTCACTTCTTATGTATTCCACTTTCAATTTGAGCTAGAGACAGAGGAATCTCGAAACAATCGTCAGTAAAATGACGGGAGCACACGACTGCCGAAGTACTCGTCAGCTTCGGCTCCATGAAGTTTGCCCGTGTTATCTGAACAAATTTCACCAATTGACGACGAATGGCTGGGTATCTTGGAAACGCATGCGTCGAAACGCCATTCTCTGCATTTGCTGTCGCACTACAGCCATACAAAACACATCTATTCACCATAATAAAGGTCGGCTATTCACATGAAAATTCTATTGAATGTCCGCCATTGTTTGTGCCCGTCGTCCTTTGTTTTCGTCATCACCCGAAGATTCCCGACGATTACCGAAGTATTTCGTTTCATTGAGAGGGCATGGTCGGGAGCAGTAAAATTGAAAATAAAATGAAACTAGCCGCATGAAATTAAAAAAAATTGTTTATTATGCTTATTTTTAATAAAAATACGTAAGTTAAACCCAAAATTCGCGGATTTCCACTATCCCTTTAAGTGTAATTTGGCATGCTTTTATTTTGAAGGCGAGTTAACGCTGTTGACAGGAAGTTGTTGTTGTTATGGAAACAAGAAAAGTTTCACAGCGGGCGGAACTTGTCATAAAGTCCGCGATAATAACACCCACCCACCCATTTAGAGGGAAGATATGATTGGTCAATTGTACTGTCATTTGACATTACTCTCTCGTTCAGTTACTATAGCTGGGCCCTCTGAATTCATAGCTGGACCGCCTGGACGTCCAACAGCTCCTCTCTTCACAGTAACTCGCAGAGACGAGCTTCTTTCATTTAACCCTTCACATTCCAACAGAAACTGAATAGGCAGATTCGAAGGATTTATTTCTTTGGAAATGTTATTTTAAATACAATTAAATCAAGTTATTTTGGTAAAACTAATGAAAAATATAACTAAAAAAATATATAAAAAAATATATAATTTTTTTTAATGTTTTTAAATATTATTTTGTAGAATATCTTAGGCCCTCACAGAGGGCCTAGAGGGCCCTGACGGCTCACCACTGATCTCCCAATATTCCATGGCTGTAAAGGCCTATTTATAGACAGGATGCGTGAGCTAGAGCTGAACCAGTTGCCTGTAGGAAAAAGCAGAGAGGAGCAGAGAGGCTTTAAATAGCTGCAGGGCACCGGACCCAGGAGCCCTGAGTTACTGCAATCAAGGCTGGACACAGCACAGCCACACCCTCTCCAGATGAACCCACAAGGGCATCACAGCAGTGTTTTCGCAACCTGAATAAAACTCCTGGCCAGACTTATGTGGACTTCGTGAGGGAGAACAAATCCTTTTTGACAGGTGGTGTAGAGCTTGTAAAGCTGATGACCTTATACCTCAATGTGTGAACTTATGATGGAGACATTTCAAAACTGTGTACCAGAACATACTGTTGTTAATTTAAATTAACAAAAAATAACCTCCTATGGCCACTATGGCGGATGAGCTTGTGTTAACGCACAGTTGTGTTATGGCTCAGTGTAATTCTTCTCGTCGTGTTTCTTTACGGAAAGCTCGTAACAGGCCTGCCACACGTGCTCATTCTGTTTCTCTTCCAGGTCCCAAGACTAAGAGATTGTGTTTCTGTTGTCTTGACCCTGGTCATTTAGTTGCAGAGTGTGTAGCTTGGAAGCAGCAGGTGGCAGCTTCCA